TAGGTTTCTGGAAACACTCAGAATCCTGCAATGCAGAAACACAGGCAACTGATGCCCAGCACTCCCCTGATCCACACACTGTCTTCGACTCTGTTCTTAGGCCTCACCCCACACTGAGGTTCCCCGATTATTTACATTTGTCACCTTTAATCCTTTCACACTGCTTCAAGAATTTGTGGCATATGGTTAGTTTTCCCATCTGTAAAATGGAGATACTGGTAGTCCCAGCCTTGTAAGGTTGTCATGATGCTTTAATCAGTCAGTTCAGTGAATATGTGTATATACATGTGTGACTGAAGCATCATGCTATACATCAGAAATTGACACAATATTGTAAATTGACTATACTTCAATTTAAAAAAGTAAAAAAAAAATTAAGTTCACGAAGAGCCTTTAAGACAGTGCTTGGCATCATAGGCACGCTGGAGCACTGTGCAGCGCTAGCTGCTGTCATTGTTGAACAGGGTGGTGCTTCCCTACCTTCTTCACATCATGACACGTAGCAGTGACCCTGCAGGCCCCAGGCCAGCCCTACCAGCCTGAGGGGCCAGCACGGCAGCCAGTTGCCCTCAGGCACAGGGCTTGGGAGGCTCTGGCCTGGGGCAGGCCCAGCAATGACATGAGGCACTTTTGAACGTGTTACTTTATCATCAGAGAAGATGCTACCGCACTCTGACCCAATTATGTTTATCCCTATTAAGTATCTCCCATTTCAAAGTGGCTGCGTCTAACAGCCATGTCAGACTTCCATTACGGAAGAGAGGAGCAGACCAGATCCTGGGGCTTCAGAGTTTGAGTCTCATGTTCTTTCCATTCTACCAAAAATGAGAAATGCAGTTTTCCAGATTCTGTTAAAACCCAGAGTTAACGTAAGTACTGTGTTCATATAACTCACTGTTTTTTAAAGGCAAGAGTTAAATGTTCTCTACCAGGAACTTCAGATCAAAAGTTGAAAACTATAGCAATCTGTCTAAAAACTGGAGCATAATTATGTAGCAGGATAGAAGTGCTAATTATCACTATGGCAGTCATAGGACAGTACTTAGATGTTTGAAATTAGCATTTTTTATACCTTAACACAATGTTATATGTAAAAATACATTTCAGTAAATAAAATAAAGTGAAAATTGAAGCACAATCACAACCTGAGTTGTAAAACAAAGCAAAGAATGATCTCCTTGCCAGAAATACATCTGTATTTATATTTGGATCTCATCTGTAGGGACTCAAAAATAGGAAAGGACTTGTTTTGTGCTCTCAAGGGACAGGAGGATGATTAGAAACAAACAGCACCAGAGAAACCAGTGCCAACACCCAAGGAACCTCAGCTCGTGGATCCGAGAGTGGCCAGATTGCGTGCCTGGGGAACATAAAAATAAAAAGCAGGGCTGCCGAGTGCTTGGAGCGCGACCCAGCCACAGCTCCCGCCTCGTAAATAAACGGTCTTTCTCCTTCATACTTGCAGCTTAGCCTTCTAATATCTATACACCATCAGGGACCGAAAAGCTAATGGACATAGATATAATTCATGAGGCCTTGAATTTCAGCACTGGAAGTGCTGGATTTCAGCTCAACTGCTGGAATGCTATTAAGAAGCAGACTGTGTGAACTTTCGTTTAGAAGCTTTATAGCACCTGTCTGTAAGTTGATAGTGTTAATTATTAAATTAAAGTCTTAAAAACTTCAGGGTCTTCCTTTGAAGAGAGATGAATTAATAGAAGGAAAGGAGACCACAGGCTGTTTAACATATCAGCCTATTCTAATTCTTGACAGAGCTGAGTGGGTTGGCTTTGTTTCGATTTTAAAGGCTACTCTGCATTTCTGGTAAACCACAAGGTAAAGGCTGGTCTCTGAGAAGCAGATGTTTTGCCAGTTCTGAGGCCTTGTGGCTTTCCATAGAGAAGTAACAGTACAGGCCACATGAAGCTTTTGCTTCCTTTTTTTTTTAAAGTGAGGCCAATGGTGCTTTGCACTTGATAGCATAGTCATTGATACACATTGACAGCAGTGGTCTGTGTTCATCGTCAGATGTCAAATTCATATTTCTGGAAGTAGTTTGCTTGAATTGTCTATAAGACAAGTGTTCCCAGTGCGCTTGAACTATAGATTTAGCCTTAGAAATAGTAGGAGAATCTTGGATGATATTTAAAGCCAAGGGAGCAGTGGAAATCATACTGAGGGCAGTTTGGAGAGCAGCAAACCTAGAACAAAGCTGGGGAAGACTCTAATCTTTAGAGGTTGAGTAGAGAATGAAGCAGGTAGGTGATAAGAGGAGAATCAGCAGAGTTTGCTGTCACGGAGCCAACAAGGTCAACTCTATTATCAAAGTTTGAAATAGATCCTTTGTCCTTTAACAGTCTGTTTCCACTGTGACCACCCTAGCCCAGGCCCCTGTCATCTCATGGTTTGTTTCACTTGTATATCAAAAACTTGGGAACTCCAACTGCCTGACACTATAGGGAGGCAAAGTGGTATTTAAGATGCAACTCCTGTCTGTTCAGAGTTTATAGACTCTGTGAGTACACAAGAGCTTATGCAAATAAATCAATGCTACGTGACTGGGAAGGGATGGTCAGGGAAGTTGCATTTTGGATTTGGAGGGATTTGAGCCTGAGGTAAAGTGGAGGTGTCTTGGGTAGGCTGTGGAGAGGAGTATTAAAGGTATCCCAGCGTCTGGAGTTCAGACAAGGTTGTAGCACAAGCCAGCCGGCATTACTGGACGTCTGGTTGGAAAGGTAGGCAGGGGCAGGATCCTGGTGGGCCTTGAATTCAGGGCTAAAGGGTGTAAACACCACCTTGACGAGGTCAAAGAGCTATTCTTAGGTAGGGGCTGGAGGCAAGATGGTGTAGGCCCATGATAAAAACTGTGGTTTTGAAAAAAATTTTTGGCAGAGGCTTGTAAGTGGCTAGATGGGGGAGATGGGTTAATAGGCCCATCTAGGAAAGAAAGGATAAGGGTTTGGCCTGGGACTAGAGTTAGAATGGCCAGGAAAGGAAGACACTGAAAGACCTTTCTTAGGAAGAATACCGAGGACGTGGTGATTTGATTTGGGGGCCAAATGGAAAGGGCAGAGTCACAGATAATGGTACCAGGACTGCAGATGGTTCCGTCTGTAGACTCTTCCACTGTGCAGACAGTCTGGCAGTAGTGCTGGGCATGGGTTTTGGAGCCTGGGTTTGAATTCTGCCTTTACCGCTGAGGAGTTGGGTGGCCCTGGTCTGGTTACTTAACCACCCATGCCTCAGCTTCCTTGTCTGTAAAATGGAGATAACACTACTTCCTTCTAGGTTGTGAGGACTTTGAATTAATATATATGAGGCTCTTGGCACATAGTAGGTACTTAATAACTAACTGTTGAATGGATGATGTTTAGAGGATTATAACAAGTAGAAGAATCAGGATCTGAACTCAAGTTTGCCCAGCTCCACCTGCTGTTCCAGATTCAGTCTTTCTCAGATGCTTCCTTCATTGTGCTGGCATGAAGGCACAGTGAACCTGCTGTATGTCCTTTGGTATTGAGCCCACGTTCGGATTGCCTGGTCCTGCCATTCTACCATCTGACTTGCGCCAGACTGTCCGCCTCAGCTTTGTATAGACTCTTCCTGTCCAGTAACCCACTCGCCATCCACTGCCTCGGTATTTCTTGGTGGGCCTCCCTCCCACCATGGCCCTGCAAATGCTGCCTGTCCTTTGTGATCTGGCCATGGTGAAGGCATGCTGGACAACTATAGTCCATCCCTCTTCTTGGCTCCCTTGCCGCACTGGTGAGCTGCCCTTCACTACTTTATGCTTGGCTGACTTTAGTCTCAGATGGTTCTGTAATGACTTCATGCACATTTATCTTACCTGCAAAAAATGAATCAGTTTTTTTTAATCAGTTTTAATAAAGGTGCATGGCTACCTTTTTAAAAAATAGTTATTTAAAAAGTACCTCCCAGTGTTACATGCGCAGGAAATACTTAAATTCTTAAAAAATGGATTAAGAAATTAATTCTCAAGGCTGAGGTTGAGTCCAGGGCCCCCTCGTCTCACGCCTGGGTTCTCTCACCAGCCTCTTTACTGTGTTGCAGCCAGTCTGTTTCTAATCCACGCAGAGGGCCCCACGGCCCCTGCAGCAGCCCCTGTCCAGTCTTTTCATGAACACCCATGCTTAGACATCTCTCCTGCCCTACAGGGAGACCATAACTCTGCAGCCTGGCCTAGAAGGCCCTCTGCAACCCGATCCTCTCCTGCCTCTTCAGTCTTACCTGCTGCACTCAGTCTGCAGTTCCCAGAATGTTCTGTGTGCCCTTCCTGGCTGACTCCTCTGCTGGAGCCCACCTGGCAGGCTCTTGCTCTTCCTTGTCACTTCCTCTGAGACCGCAGCAGAGTAAGTTGCTTCCTCCTCCTGGCCCCACCTACCGCCCTTTGTTCCACAGCTGCTTTTCACTGGTGCCCAAAGGTTGATCTGTTTACCCATCTGCCCTGCCGGCTCCTTGAGGGCAGGGCAGCCTCATTGCTTTCCACAGCCGGGGTGGAGATGCTCTGCACATAGCCCAGGATGTGTGCTGATCATATATGTCATATATTTATATGTGTATGTGTATTTGTATATATACTGTGTGTATGTATGTATATATAGTATGTGTATATGTGTGTGTGTATATGATACTTTTGTCAAGTAACAAAGGTCACTCTTCAGACGAGAGTAGAGCTGCTTCCTTGCACCTTGACATATTTCTCCTTTTGAACCATTCGAATTATATTGAAAACTGACAGTGATGAGTCATATCTTAGAAAGGGGTGAAATCTGAAAATGCAGAGCCTCCAGGAATGGAGTAGGAGGTTACAGATCGGTCTTGCAGGCCAAGTCTGGCTCTTGGCTGAATTTGCCCGGCTGGTCTCAAACACGGGGAGTGGGAGGGACTCTCCTCCCGGTGGGCAGGTGATTTATTGGCTGGGAAGCTTCTGCGGTGATTTAGTTGTGAAACGGCGCCCTGCGAGGTGCAGGCTAATGCCCAGGCCGCGCGGGAGCGCCGCCCACCATCCCGGGCCGGAAGAGAGCGCGGGGGTCGTCGGGGACCAGCCCCCCACTGC